TTGTTTATTACGGGAACCCTTTGGTCGCGATCTTGTCTTCTGCTGAAGTCGTCGTATTGATCCCTATTGTCTTCATAGAAAACACCCGACGGTCTCTTGTCGTAGAATTTGTTGATTGGTTTTATGGCATTTATTGGATCTTATTATTTAAAAACATACAAAACTTATTAATTAAAGATTATGAATAAATTTAAAGTATTATTCACACAATAAATACCTTTTGTCGCTTCAATGAAGCCATAAGTTTTTGGCGGACCTTTAGTTGAACCGCCTTTTGTGGTCACTTCGTAGCCACCAATTGGCGGATCTCTGTTGTCATCAAATATTGGATTCATATCCCTATCCCTATCTCTACCACTTCTGTCAAAGTTTGTCTCATAAGGCGGATCAGTTGGACCAATGAATGATTGTGGTTCTGGCAGTCGCGGATTCACCCCATTTCTACTATAACCAGGATTTCTCTGATCATTAATGTCTGGGTTTGAGCCAAATTTGGGCACATTTTGATCAATAAATTCATTTTGTGGAACCACTCGAGGAGTTTCTTTGGGTCTCTGAGGGTTAGCGCCTCTATAGGGCATTATATTGTCGGGTATATCAGCGTAAGGAACTCTATCTCTGTCCCCAACTCGTCCCCCTCTGTTATCACCAGTTGATCCGTCCCTTACGTTAGATTCATAGATAGGATTTACTGGTCGTGAGCTATCGGGTCCTCTATTCATATTAACTCTATCTCTATTTACATCGGGCGCGGGATTGGGAGCCCGGGAGGGCTCAGGTGTCCGTGGTAATTGATCCAACTGTCGGGTGCCATAAGTGCTTCGATTAGGGTTTACATTAACTGTCGGTATATTTTGAGGTCGTATCGTATCTTCCCTTCGGACGCCTCCACCAATCGGGTTATTATAAGCACTTCCTGGCGGTGCGGACGGAGGACCGGCATATGGTGTGGGATTAGATACTACTTGAACGGGGTTTGACTCGATCTGTACATTAGAGGGGTTATCATTGGCTGTTCCGGGTTCTGATGTCCGGATTTTGGCTCTGAAGCCGTTCTCGTCGGCCACGTACTCGACGTGTCGATACAGACCGTCGGGTCCTAAATAGCCGTAACTTCCGGTCACTCTCTCGCCATCACTCATCTCTTTCCTGTACTGTTCGTTACCTTTCGGTGCCATAAATATAAATGCTATCAATCATTATATCTTTGAAACTCTATTCAGTAAATACCGCTATAATCACGAATTTCATATCCAAAAGCGTACGGCTGTGTCGGCCATTGCTATACAACAATACAATTACATTAGATTATAAATGCTATCAATCATTATATCTTTGAAACTCTATTCAGTAAATACCGCTATAATCACGAATTTCATATCCAAAAGCGTACGGCTGTGTCGGCCATTGCTATACAACAATACAATTACATTAGATTAGCATCTCTTCTGTGTTTATTTGATTTCACTTGTGATCACTTTGTTTGTGACAATACAGACAATTACCGTATAGTCTTATAAATAATTTATATTTAGAATGATTGACCTAATTGTTAGTGTCTCACAAATATATGATATATGATATTGTTCATTTTATATTCATTCAAACTAACAAATTATAGAGTATTATATTATATAATGATTTTAATCACATAATTATATTAACTCTCAATCAGAAGAAGTTTTCTCATCATTTTTTTCTCCGTTTCATTCTTTGATATTATATTAAGAAAAGTTATTTATATTTAAAGATTAATTATTAAGTGGAAAGTGATGTTAATTTTACTCTAATGTGAAATTAAATTATTTATTAAAATCACTTTTAATATGTAATTTAAACCACTTTTAAGGTTGTTTAACACCTAAATAATTATAACAATTATAGCTTATATGGATAACTACATCCACTGTATTTGTAAAAATTTTTGCACGCATTTGAATCTTATTTTTATTCATTCATTCATCCGTTTAGTGAATGAAGAAAACAATAAATGAATACAAAAGCAATAAATATTGACTAAATATTTCATTATTTGTCACAATTGAACAAATGTTTAGCATTAATATTACATATGAATTGTGATTATATTTCTTTAAAAATTCTAAATTAATACCAATTCAACGATTTAGCGCTAATTGTGGCCAAAATATACAATTACTGGTATATTAATAGCCATATTGTACTCATTCTTCGTATTCATAGAGACTATTATAAGAATTTTTATTTATTTTGAATACTTTTAATTTTTAAAGTAGACATTATATACAATTATAAACCCATTCATGAATTTAATTTACTATTTTCATGTTTTAATTTTGATATAATATGTGAAAAAACTTATTAAAGCAATATTTAAATTTGTAATTATGAGAAAATAAAAAAATAAAATATAAGATAATTTACCTCTTTATACCACTCATCCTGATTACGGTTAGGAGTCTGTCCTGCGGCCCAATACACGGATAATCCGATACAATATAAGGTAATAAATATTTTCATCTCCCGTTTCAATCACATCACAATTGGAAGAATTGAAACGAACGGACACTTCATTATATATTAGGATATATTGAGAAAAGAGTTTGAATGAAATAAAAGTTGGCCACAAGTTTGGGGCGTCTTATATACTATAGTATAAAGTCTGGAGTAAAGAAAATGAGAGCCAGTCTTCCTGTGTGTGCATTGGACTGGTCTTCGGGCTCACCATTGCTTTGCCATTAATTAATGGGTTTGGGGTTTGACTTTCAATTGTATGACCTATTATTGCAACGCGTCGTCCGAACAGTCATTATATCATTTATTTATTTCATATTTAAGTTTGACTTTTGTTTTACTTGTATTAAACACTTGATTGTAAAGTAGGTCTTCAGAGCCAATACGACGATGAATGAGACAAAGACTCACTTTTACTTCAAAGCAATACATTATGTAATAGATTAGCATTAATTGTTTAATCGTTTCTCAATTTCTCGTATCTTTGTGTTTGTGTTTATAATACAACTAAAAGTTAATTTAATTAATTATATGTTTTTCTAAAAATACCTTAAATACTGTTTCCATGCGTTTAATGAACCTCTGATTAAATAAAGTGATTGTCAATCACTGATTGAACACTCATTTTATCCCTCATTATAGCGATCAATAGACAATCACTTTTTTGATATGATATTTTAATCATAACCATAACGTTATATCATATAAAATACAGGAATTTTGTAAATAAATTTTAATGTATTTAAATAAAATTAATGGAAATTATAAATTTTAATTTATTTATATAAACTAATTTAATAATTTATTTAATTTTCTTTATAATTTTATTTTAACTCATTATATTGTAATTGTCATTATTAGTGCAATAGTTGTGTGAAAATCATATAAATATTAAACCGTTTAAAAAATTCTTGAGTTCAAAGACATGAATGAAAATCTTTAATTCAAAACCATTTCAGCCCTATCAGACCCAGAGTAGCGCCACAATCAGTTCGCCCGTCAATACTATACCAAACGTTTATAAACCAATTGATAGTTTAGATGACAACAAGAAATCAGATGAAAATGACGTCAATAATGACAAACCAAACTTAAACACACCACTGTCTCCCTCTTCATATGTTGTCACCCCATTCCCTGCGCCCGTCAATCAGTCTATTATACATATTAAACCAATTATAGGTAAGTTAGCATCTAGTTATCAACTATTAATTACTAATAATACATTAACCTAACTTATAATTCATACCAATTTTATTTTAATTAATACTAATTCACTATATTTACCATATTTTAAATGAATTAATTGAAATGTCTAATAAATAACGATTTTTAACTGTTTAAAAAAGACTAAAATATTAACTAAAAATGTGTTGAGAATTTAAGATTAATAAAACAATATCTAAACAATGACTTCTAAACTCAATTTTTAAAATACTAATTAAATGTCAAATATTCCCAATAATTCACTGATTATATAACATAAATGTGCGTAAAAATTCATTTCAAAAACTTTTGCTGCAATTAAATAATAATAATACTAGACGAGGGCCGAGACGGTGGCGTTTACACAGTGGCGCCTCAATTGACACAAATGGAGATCCCGAGGTTCGGCACAAGACTTCGCACACCTGAACCGCCACTCGAAGAGATGTACGAACCCATCGATGAGTTAATAGAAGACCATAAAGTGGATCAAATAAAAGATTTCATTGACCATCATAAAGAATATGATAACAATCCAAACGATTACTCAATTGATAACCAGAATATTGGGACCGATAGTCCAACTGCTAATCCAAATGATAATCCATTGGCTCAGCCGTTGGTGTTTGAGAATATAGATGACGATCAGTACTATGCATACGAAGACGAGGAGGAGAGTGGGACACAGAATGAGGCACAGAGTGGGGCACACAATGTGGAGAGTATAGAGAAGCCCAAGAATTTAATTTATACGCAAACTATATCTCAATCGCATCGAAGCGATGAAAAGGTAGACATAAGCGCCAAATCCAACAGCTCTTCGCCGATAGAGATATCGCATAAAGTGATGAATGTCTTGAATTGGCATAAATACGACCAAATGGAGGGCACCGGCAGTTAGACAGACACACATTGCCGTAGATGTGAAGCGCACGGGTAGTGAGGAAATGGTGTTATATAACAAACACTGTATATTTGGGTCAATTTTAGCAATATGTTTTTTGGTTGATTCAAATTAATCATATATTTGTTTTTCTTTATTCAATTATTAGTTTAAATGATAATTAAATAGAAATACAAATACAATTGAATAATAACTAATTTAAATGCCATTTAATATCATATTTATCATGTAATTGTCATTTGAATTCACAATTCATTATTGTTTGCGTTTTTGATAAAAGCTTTGCCGAAACAAAACTATTTGTCAATAAAGTAATAAAAAAATAACTTTAAATAAATAAATGCAAAAAAGGTCTGAAAAGGTCTTGAAATGGTCTGAAATGGTGTGAATCAGCAAAAGTTTGCCACCAATTAATGGGTTAAGAGACGGAACAGGTTTGCGGAAAAATATCCATTATGTAAGAGAGTATACTTTAGTATAGCGTACAGAGTATACAGTAGTGTACTGTAGTGTACACTATATGCGGACTCGGATCTAGTGGTGGCTGAAAATGGGTCACTAAATCAAGTTCAGGGCTAAATATATTGCACAACACATACAAAAAGCTGGTCTACGTTGCACTCCATTGACTTCCTTACCACTAATGAAGTCTAATATAATATTCAAAATTTCAATTCTTTAAGCAACAGATCATTGTTTCCTTATATATACAGACAAAAATTGCTGTTAGAAGAAAGGCTTTCCATACAATGTTTAGTTTATACTAAAATATTAATTGAAGAAGACAGTCATTAATCGTTTAGATAATAGCTAGCATAGCTATCCTCAGAAGTGTTTCACATACAAAAACTTATTTTTAAAAGTATACCAAACGTTAAGCAAAAAAGTTTCAGTATTTGAGTTAAAGATTTTCCATTATAACCGGATTTAAAACCAACAAATTGCTAATTATTTTTTGCAATTAGCAATATTCATTGAATTTTTGTTTCTTATAGTTTTTTTTGTAACGATTTGGAGTTATTTTCTCACAAAAGTTATTTTCTTAGTTTTGTTGGAAACTTCTCTTATTATGTGTTAAATATTCTCATAATATTGTAATTAATTACATCTGTGTAATACTTGTGATAGTTTTTCAAATGTAAATTTAAAGAAAATGTATAAATATTTAGTTTTATTATAAGTTTTTTTATAAGTGATGCGAGATTTTAAAAGAATAATCAATTTCGGATTATTATTTATTTTTGTTTATTGATTACACTTTTATATCATAAAATTTGTGCACAATTTATAAGATTTAAATCGCCGCTAAGAGACGACAATGAAGTTTATCAAAGCCTTGACTTTGATTTTGTTAATCGGTTTGTATTTTTAAAATACATTAAATAAAACCATAATAATTAAACCACA